AAATTTTGATATTTTGTTAATGGTGGATTATCATATTAATTTTGATTTTTAAAAAAATATTGTATTAAAATGTTATTTATCCTGATCACTGAATTTTTTTGGCACCCCTTTACATTTTGCCCCCAAGATAAAAGCCTCACTTGCCTCACTCTAGTCCCAAACCTGGGACTAAATGGGGCAGAAGAAAAAGAACATCGTTGATCACTTTTTTCTATCTTATGATGCTCTCGCTATGGACCTTAAGCACCTATTTCCTGAGCAATTCAGACAATAGTTAGGCCTGGTTCTATAAAAACAGATATGGGGACCTCCTTGGTTATCAAAACATGCCTTTGGTAACACTGGAAAGGACCTGTAAAAGCACTCAGCTGAACCTTCTCATGTCCAGATGAGAAAACTTGACTTCTCCAAACAGAATTAAGCCCTTCTCTAGTTCTATTTTAGTCCTTGGTTTCTTCTAAGGCTCAGTGATGGAAGAAACAGAAGGGCCCTCAAGTTACCCAAAGCCAGGACTAGGGCCCAGGGCTCTATAGACTCTCCATTCCAGGTTTTCTATGGCTTGCCATCAAAAGGGCCACTGGATCTCTAGCTAGGTTGAAGATGGAAGTGAAACCCATCTCACTCCAGAGCCCAACTTCTTCACTTTATGCCAAGAGGTTGGGTGAGGGAAGTAACTCCTTTAAGGAAGACTTTGGACTATGCAAAAGTGAAGTTAATCTAGTTCTATAGGCCATAGTGAGCTATATAAATAGCAACTTTAAATAGGAACTTAACAGTTTCATGACAAATATATTACTCCTGCTTTTGAGATCACTACCATCTGAAGCCCCTGTAATATGCAGCCAATGGTAGGGCTGGGAAGAATAGCCTCTACTGCTTCTGCCCGCCTGGGAAAACACAAATGATGAAAAATCCTCCAGGACTCTGGGATAACATGTTATCTCTGCTGCTTGAGCAAAGAATGAAAGCTGGCCTCAATACTGAACTTTTCTCCAACTCCGAACACTGTTTAAAGCCCCAGTACCTTAGGGCTTCATAAGATATTGATCACTGGCACTCCCTGAAGCTTTCCAACTTGATGTCAGGATTATTAACAAGGCTACTAGGATTTTTGCCCTTTGGAACTCCTTTAATGTTTTGCCAGAATGTCCACCATCTCATCCATCTATCTTGTAGTTCTCCAAGCCCAGTATACTGGTTCTTGTCTCAACATTTTTGCCCTCTCTTGGCCTGGAAAGAGGTCTCCAATCCTATCCCTCTCAACTTCTCCCACCTGTTTCACAACTCCTAATCATTTTTAAAAGAACACCTACTCTGGGATTTAAGATCCAGTCTCTTTCTTTGACTTTTCTAAACATAATTAAGCATTTTTAGTAATTTTTAGTACTGGATTCAAGTTTTTTCTTAGGACATATCACAATGCTCTGATTCTTCATTGATGTATGAGTTTCTACTGATTAGACTGTGTTCTCCCTGAGAACACAGACATTTAAAATTCAGTATTCCAGCATCCAGCACGATTCCTGGAATAGAGGTTTCTGAATGAATAAATATGTAAACAAACAAATGAACATGTAGGATGACATAGAAATTCATTTCACTTGCCAGTAAGGTCACAAGATTCAGAATATGGATTATTATTGTCTGCACACTTTTTTCAAGACAAGTTAATTATTAATTATTATCAGTTTTAAAAATATGGCAAAAATATAGATATAGAGAAGAGATCAGTGGCTGCTAAGGGGAGGGGGAGTGATGAAAATGTTCTACATCACAACTGTGTTGTGGTTATGTGACTATACCAATATTTCAAAATGCAACAAATTATATACTTGGTAATTTTAATTATATGTAAATTACAGATTAATAAAGCTAACTCAAAATTGTATGAATTCTCAGCAGGAAAGGAGCTTTGACATCCAAAGCCAAGAGAATAATCCAAGTGGCTGTAGTAAAAGAACACAGACCTAATTGTCAAGATACCAGTTTCCAAATCTGGTTCTTCCAGGTTTAGGTGATCTAAAATAAGCTGTTTAACCTCTCTGAGACTCATCCTTCTGCCTCTATTAAATAGAGACAATAATATCTCCTTTGTCCCCCCATAGTGTGGGGCTCCAATGAGATAACAGATGTGGCCGGACTTTGAACAGCTCAACAGTTTTGTTATTATGCCCAGAATACATAATCTGTACAGCCAAAATTTAACCAGATTCAGAGCATAGTTTGCCTAGAACTCAGAGTGAAGGGAAACAGACTAGATCCTGAATTCAGAGCTTACCCCAGCTCCTCTGAGGCAATTTCTCCTCATTAATAGATTAATACATTTCCTTTTAAAATATATTATTTTCAGGCTAGACTTAGATGGAAAAGGAGACTGGCCAATTTTAACCTGTAGAAGAAGGTTTGGCCAGCTTTTTGACAGATGACACACAAGGGTTGCAAAATAGAAAACAAATAACTGCGAGAGAGACAAAACAGAACCTTCCCTCAGAGTGCTAGAGGTTTGTCTGGGTGCTGATCTTGCCTCCTGAGTGTCTCCACAAGAGCTTCCTGACTTGGTAAGATGGGGCCATTGCCACAGCAGGTTTTCTTAGCTGAGATCATCAGTTAATGCTCAGCCTACCAAAGCCATAGCCAGCCAAGCTGGTGACCCAAAGGCAGCAAATGATAGGGGTAATAGAGGCAGAATATGACTAGATCTTTATGCTTCGAGACCTACTGCAGATATCTTGGCATCTTCCTCAAGTGGGGATATGAAGTAAGTATCAGGTCTCTGGGCTTTGGGACACAAGGCCCACCCAGACTGATATCAATCTGCTTTTTGACCTTAACAAAGTCCTTTCTTTTGTTTCAGCTTCATTTCCTCATCTGACAAATGAAGATTACTCAATGTTCTCAGGGTACTTGGGATACGCTGATATGATTTGGCTGTGTCAGTAACCAGATCCCATCTTGAATTGTAGCTCCCATAATTCCCACGTCATGGGAGGAAACTAGTGGGAAATAATTGAATCAAGGGGTGGTTTTTCCACCCCTTACTGCTCTTGTGATAGTGAATAAGTCTCATGAGATATGATGGTTTTATAAGGGGTTTCCCCTCTCACATGGCTCTCATTCTGTCTTGTCTGCCACAATGTAAGGTGTGAATTTGCTCCTCCTTTGCCTTCCACCATGATTGTGAGGCCTCCCCAGTCACATAGAACTGTGAGTCCATTAAACCTCTTTCCTCTAAAAATTACCCAGTTGCAGGTATGTCTTTATTAGCAGCATGAGAACAAAATAATACAGTAAATTGGTACTAGTAGAGTGGGGTGCTGCTGTAAAGATATCAAAAAATGTGGAAGTGACTTTGGAACTGGATGACAGGCAGAGATTAGAACAGTTTGGAGGACTCAAACTGTTGAAATGAGAGAAAATGAGATTTGGGAGGGCCCAGGGGTGAAATAATGTGGCTTGGTTGTGTCCCCATCTAAATCTCATCTTGAATTTTAGCTCCCATAATTTTCACGTGTTGCGGGAGGGACCTGGTGGTAGATAATTAAATCTTGGGGGCAGTGTCCTCATACTGTACTTGTGGTAGTGAATAAGTCTCATGAGATCAGAAGGTTTTATAAGAGGATTCCCCTTTTGCTTGTTTCTTAATGTCTCTTGTCTGCCACCATGCAAGACAGGTATTTGCTTCTCCTTTGCCTTCCACCATGATTGTGAGGCCTCCTCAGCCATGTGGAACTGTGAGTCCATTAAACCCCTTTCCTTTATAATTTACCCAGTTTCAGGTATGTCTTTATTGGCAGCATGAGAACAGACTAATATAGGAGCCCATGTAAAAAGTTGCTTCCTTTGACTCCTAGCACTATTAGTAGGAAACCAGCTTGAACTGGTCTCACGGGACAGGAAGAAAAGTTTTTTCCTGGTCATGTACCACCTGCCATCTGACCAGGCCACCTCCTTCTCCTACACCTATTTCATTACTTCTCATTATTCAGAGTGCAGCTCAAATTCCACCCTATCTAAGAAGTCATGAATACTGCAGACTACCACATAGCTAGAACCTTTGTTGTAACTTATCTTGGATTAGTCCCTTGAAAAACTGTTTTACTCCCAATTCTGGATTCTCCTGGGTTATGAAAGACAAAGCAGAGTTGAGCTGTGAAAGCAGACATGTAGTTTTTGCCTCCTGATTTGGAATCATACAGAGGCATCAGGTTCAAACTCTACCACTTACTGGCAGGGTGACACTAGGAAAGTCATGTCACCTTTTTGAATCTCAGAGTTTTAATATACAAAATGGAGATGATATTAATTGGCAGCACTGCCATGAGGTCAAATGAAACACTGGATTTGCAAGCATTTTGTAAAATGCCACGAGGGCTTTTTGGAGCTGCAAAAAGTGTTCCTCAAGCATTTCAAGTCCCTGAATGCCACGGAGCCGCTTTCCTCGTGACTCAAATCACTCCTCTAAACCCCTGACCATGGAATATTTACCTTTTTGGAACCACCTACATGGATTTCCTCTCTTGGGGCCTTACAAATGTTGGCTTTCCCAGGACAAGGGCCCTATCATGAATGACTAATTCCTGTATTTGAGCATACATGATTTCTTTTTTTATTTATTTTTGTTTTTGAGATGGAGTCTCACTCTGTCACCCAGGCTGGAGTGCAATGGCAAGATCTCAGCACACAGCAACCTCCACCTCCCGGGTTCAAGTCATTCTCTGTCTCAGCCTCCTGAGTAGCTGGGATTACATGAGCCTGCAACGATGCCCAGCTAACTTATTTTTGTATTTTTAGTAGAGATGGGATTTCACCATATTGGCCAGGCTGATCTTGAACTTCTGACCTCAAGCGATCCACCTGTTTTGGCCTCCCAAAGTACTAGGATTACAGGTATGAGCCACTGTAACTGGTCAAGCACACATAATTTCTGATTAGAAAGAAGCTGGTTATTTGCCCCCAAGTGAAAAGAGACCCAGCATAGAGACCAGGCTAAAATGAAAATAAATATTTAAACCCACTTATTGATGATCTTTTTCTCAGGAATGGACAGGCCTGAGTCTGGACCAAGAAAACCAAGTGAGGGAAGTCTGGCAAGAGGGCAACCGAGCAGGAGGCAGAAAACAAGAGAATTCAAGCCACGTGTCATTAAACTTTTCCTGTGGGCCTCAGTTTGCAATTCCTAAACCAAAAAAAAAAATAAAAAGGAAACAAAAGTTTTTAAAAAGTCTTAACTTCATGATACATCTCCCTGGCCAAAAATCTCTATGTGGTGGCTTCCACAAAACAGGCCTAAGTTGCTATGACTATAAACCTGTTTCTGAGTGGCAATATTCAAATTGGAGGGTGGTGGTAGTAAAAGCTAAGCCAGTAGGCCAGATATGCCCAAAGCTTGCATTCTCAGCTGTTATTGCTCACCAGAGTTTAGCCACAGATCTGTAGCCTTATGTGTCCAAACACACTTGCTCCCAGACAAACTATACAGGGACACAGACAGACACTGAAAGGCAGATATCTATACATACCCTCAGCAAGGAGATACAAAAAGGCCGTAGACTCAAACACATACAAAAAGGCATCAGATGTCAAAACACCCAAAGATACACTCAGACAAAAGAATAGACAGATAGATAGATAGACAGATAGACACAAGCACACACAATAGACAATTAAAAATATCACATTGTAGTTCATGCTCAGGGACATCCACACATTCACCAAAGAAATACTTTAATAGGTGTGCCATGGGCAAAGATGCATAGATAGACATATGGACAGACATGCATGTGCACAGAGATATACCAAGAAAGCTACACTTATAAAGGTCCATAGAAGTGCCCAACAGACAGGGATATAAAGACATCAAGATAAAGAAGCCTGCTAACATTGACCTCCCAAGCACTAGCTTTTATATCTCCATTTATAAAACATCTTCTCCAAAAGAATGCCCATAAATATGTCACCAGTTAGCTCTGAAGATGATCATGAACCCAAAGAATGTAATAAAAGCAAACCAAAGTACTCAGAGTTTAAAATTTCACAGCTCCTCCATCTGCCACAGCAAAGGCAGCCAAAGAAAATGGCAGCAGCAAGCTGTATGGAAGCCATAAAAAGTCCTTGATTTATCTCATGTAAAAATTAACCTCAGGGAAAAATTGTTAATGCTCCCAACTTTTATGCAGCCATAAAATGGCTCAAAAACCTGTTTTAAAAATGGCTTCCATTCCACATGGTGGAAGTTTCAATACTTGCAATATGTCTAGGAAGAGAGAAGCTTAGAGGAGATAAATGGTGCTGGAGAACAGGCAAGTTCCAAAGAAACTAAGAAAGGGGTCTTACTTCATTAACTGCCTTGTTTCCTGATCCCTGGGGCTTCCAGTATTCACCAATGTTCTTGTGGGTTTCTAGCATCTTGGAGCCCTTGTCCAGGTTACCTGTGGTGAAAGAATACTCTTTAGGTTGAGACCAAACTTAAGCTCCTTTGGGAGAAACTTGGTTGCTGATCACCCTGGTCCACCTTGCAGAACCACCAGGACTGGGGTGGTGGAGCATGATAGGGAAGGGTATACTCATGTAAGGCCAGCAATAGAGAGAAAGAGGGCCAAAATTAGCCAAGAAGAAATCCATAACCAGTATTTGAAGTATGCTGGGCCTTGTTCCATTGCTCAGGGAATATCTTGGAAAAAGAATAACCTCAGGCTCCTGCCTGGAATTATAAAGTAAGAATTCCAGTTCCTAAAAATTCTCTATTATCTGAAGTCTTAGGTGACATAAAGAGCCTGGTTAATTAAAATATAAAAACATTGGCAAAACCTTGTTTCCACCAATAGCTATAATTGTTTGCCCTTCCCAACACTTCCCCAGAGCAACATAAACAGTTCTAAATTTTCACCCCTTTCTGTAACTCACCCATTAAAAGGAAATGTGAGCAGTAGATGCATCCAAAAACCATGTAGTAAGAAGAAAAACCAATGATGTTTCTAATCAGACCCAATTAGAGAGTAAAATCTGTGTTCCTAGAACAGCCAAACAGCAATGCTTCCATTTGCAAAATAAGGATACGAAGCCTCAAAGGAGGGGAATGATTGGAACTAACTAAACATCCAAAAATTATATTGTAGTCATAATGTGATACACACAAACACACACAGAAATTCAGCAACATAACTCAGGTCTCCTGACACCTGGCTCAGTAATCAAATGTGGCTAACTGCTACCACCAACAGAAAAATACTCAAATAAAGAGTAAAAATACACCAGCTCTTCTTACCTCCTCAGAAACCAGTGTCCTAGTTAAGATTCGATCCAGTGGTGTTAGAATCTTCTACGTGTATCCTAAAACCCTCTAGATCAAGACCAACTCAGAGCCACCCCTATTGGGAGGGACATAACCTCAGTGGGACATGATTTCAATGCCTCTGCCTAAGCAGGCTTCTGAGTCAGCCCAGTCTCAAATTGTTTGAGTAGAGTACAGCCAATATGTGAGGTGACATGTGTGTGAGTATGATTGCAGAGGGGATGTTTCTGGGATCATGTTTTGTTAGGTTTTTCTTAAATATAAGAACCACTCCTACTTCATTTGGAAAGCAAATCTTAAATCTTAATATTGGTATCAACAAATATTCATGGACTATAAACTATGTACCTATCCAGCCCAGGCCTAGATAGGCATAAGGCATGCTCCTATCTCCATCTCATTTATTGTTATTGTCTTTAGTATCATTGCCATCTGGTTGTATAGCACCCCAGAGCTTATAAGGCACTTTTAGTTTGTTAGTTCTTTTTAGCCAACAGTATTGTCTGTGAGGTATAAACTATTAAGCCAAGGTTATACGTAAGAAAACTGAGGCTCAAAGAGGTAAAGTGACCTGTTCCTGGTCATACAGATAGTAAGAAGCACAGCCAAAATTCAAATCCAAGCATGCCTGACTTCAAAACTGTTGTCCTTTCCAGCACCAGATTGTCAGAAGGCAAACTCCACTGACTTCTCTATTTTGCTCAATCAATGTTTGTCGAATGAGCAAGTGACTGAGTCAATTAATAATTAGAAGCAGCAGCTCACATACTATGGCAGATTCAGGTTAGCCCCACAGTGAGAAAAGTTCTTCGGCATATGGAATTGGTGGAGGGCAGCGGGGAGAAGAAATAAACTGCTATCGCTGAGTACTCCTGTGTGCTAGGAACTGTGCTAAGAGCATCAATAGATTCTATTTCATGTGAAGATGTTATGCAGCATCCCATTCCTCAAATTGAGAAACTGAGGTCCAGAGAGGTTGTGCAAATTGCCCGAGGTTGCAGAGCAAATATTTGAACCTGAGTCTGTTCAACCCCAAAGTTGATCCTCTTTCCACCATACTGGTCTGCCTTGGAAACCTCCAGATTAAAAGCTTAGAGGGAGGGGCTTGTAAGAGTATGTGTAGAATAAGGTAGAAGAACAGAATTTGAGCTAATCATAACATAAATATGATTCTTGGATCCCATAGCCAGGAGGGTCAGAGATATAAGAGCTACATGACAACTGGCTTTCCAAATGGAGTCCCGATGCCATCCTCCTTCCCAGGAATATTTTTAATCCCTTAGTTGGGACCTTAACAATCAGAGCTGCAACGTGAGTGCCACTTATATCCCAGAGGTGAGAGTGGCTGAGTGGCTGCTGAGGTGATGGCAGGACATGAGTCAATCTCAGGGATATATTTTCCTACCCATGGCATATAAATAAGCCCAGATAAATCACTGGGATAAGGACTATTAGCCCCATCTCTGCAGCTCCCCCACCCCATCCTACCAGGAGCTGTCACCTGTTTCTGACAATCAGAAGGATGGTGGACAGGACCTATCTGATTCACTTGGCAGTGGAATGGTAGCAGTTGCTCAAAAGCCTTCAAATTGCCAGGTGGTAGGTCCACTTACTTAGGGGAATGGAGGGAGAAGAGGAATAGCTGTGACTATATTCCTTCTATTAGATCCTCCCAGCATGACCTCCTAGGGGATTATGAGAGAGCGCCTTATCCTAAGGCAGGGGAATTAGAAAATATAGCAGACATCTGCTGCTGCCTTGTTGTCTTGATTTGCACCTACCACCTGCAGTCTTCTTAGGGGACAGCAGTGGCTGGCAATTCCAAATGAGATTGAATGGAACCTGAGGCTTGGTATCTCCACATTTAAGACTTGGTCTAGGAGTGAAGTAAAATCACATTCTGGCATGATGAAAAATCATGAGGTTGAAGCCCTGAATCACAACTCTGCTATAATTGATTGAGTGATCTTGGACAGGTAGTCCCATCCCATGTCTGATCCTGTTTCCCCATCTGCAAAATAAGAGGACCACGTGACCTCTAAGTGCTCTCCTAGTTCTGACAGTAAAGGATTATCTCCCTGTCCTCAGAATTCTTTTTGTTCTTACTGCCTCCCTAGCTTCTGGGGATTTCTGAGGAAAATGATGCCACAGAAGACTGAAGCCAGTGATTTCTTTGGCTCCTACCTTCCTGGAATGCTGGGAAGGAGCCACTGGGTTGGAGATAATCTCTGAGTCAAAGCATCCCACATGTCCCTCACACATGGAGTAAGAAGAATAAAGAAAGAAATAGGAGGAGGAGAAGCAGTTCCAGAAGAGCTACAAGTCATTCAGGGCTAAGGCAATCTTTGAGCCATGGGGAAATAAAACTGGTGCTCTTAGAACTTTTAGAGACTTTGGAAAGAAACCTTTAGAAAGGAATACTGTGAGGTCCTGAGAATCACAGCATTCATGCAAATTGTGTTGCTGTAAAAGGGCCTAGGAGCAGTTAGGATGTGGTGTAAGGCAAAGGGATCCAAAAGCATGGATTCCTTCCATTTGTGGCAGAAAGTAGTGTTTGTAAATGACAAATATTTGGCAGGCAGAGGCCGTGGGCTGTCTGAAAGGACATACTCTGAAGTTCTGGGGGGTAACTGAAGTGTTAAGTGTCTGGATTTTGAGTGCTTTAAGTGAAGCTGCCTTGAGCCTTGAGGAGCTTTCCATAGTTGATGGTCATTGAAGGGGGCGGGATTTGAAACCCAAAGAGAGCACATCTGTGTAAGATAGAAGAGAAACAGTGTTAGAATGACCCCATGTGGGGTTTGCATTATGGGACTAGTCCCTTTGAGGCCTGCAGGGTGTATATAAGATCACTGTGAAGAGTAGCAACTGGTATGTATGAGTTCTGAAAGCATGAGTTACAGAGGGCCTGAGGGGGAAAAAAGGCCTATGAGACTTTGAGAAGAATAGGATATTTGAGTGCTTTGACTTAATAAGTACCCCAATAAGGATACTTGCCTTTTAAAAGAAGAGCATGGAGAGGTCAAAGTCTATACCAAGGCATTTCGAATAGTGGATTTTCAGGCTTTAATGAGAAGCAGTACTGGGAGATTACAGGGTGGGGAAGAGGATAAATTCAACACAGACTATGCATGAGGCCCGCCTAGCATGTCCTGCCATAGAAACCATGGCATAAAAGGCATACCACGGCAAAGCATCATAGGTCTCCTCCAGCCTACTTGGTCCAGCTCCATAGGGATACTTTGTGAGGTGGGCAGAGAGTGGCATTTTTCCAGAAGGATTTTAAGTGGCAGAATCCTTGGTGATGGTTCAGCTGTGGGAGAGAAGGCCTGCAATGAAAACCAACCAGAATTAGTTACTCAGTGGAGGTGGGGAGCAGGCCAACACATGGATTAAAAAGCAAAGCTTCCAATTTGAAATATTAACTGGTCCAGTCCCCAGATCCTACCAGGGTTAACGCGTGTCATCAGTAAATGCAAGCAAAGGCCCAATTACTAACAGCCTAAAAGACATCAGGCAGTGGAGCAAATGTAAAGCAGGCAATTGATTTAAGAAAAAAAGGGTAATATCTAAATCACACAACTAGTAAATGGTATGTCTGTAAGACTACAGATCTACCATGGTGCCTTTCTAGACAAAATGAATAGCTGCTGGGCCCCTACATTCTTCAAATTCCTTCTCAACACTCCTAAGTCACTGTGGACACAGTACAAATTTCTTCCACCTATATCATTCATTCTTCAAAGAATTGTATGTGGGGAGGAGTTAACAGTTTGTGTAACCCAGAGAAGGGTTCTGCACAGATGCTAACCCAATTTCTAAGGGCAGAAACCAGTCAGTTTATTCTTCTGAACAGTAAAAGTCACTTGGTTATACTGCAAATAGAGTTGCAGAAGGTATAAGAGACTGTACTGAATCTATGAATTTTAAGACAAGGTCTCAAAATTGCTTTTTTATCACTCCTCGTAACCGTAACTTATTCACCTTGTCTCATAGACATATTAACTGTTGGAGCTGAAAGCCCCCTTACAGGTTGTAAAATCTAACCCACTGATTGAACAGATAGAAAAAAACAAACAGTTGAGGCTCAGCAATGGAAGGGACTGGACAATTAAATTATTTTGATTTGAGGTAGAAGGAATTTTACCAAGCTTTGACTAGAATGATGTGCTTTCTTTTAAGAAATCAAACTTGACTTATAGAGTCAATAAAAGCCCTTTGGGGCTGAGCATGGTGGCTCATGCCTGTAATCCTAGGACTTTGGGAGGCCAAAGTGGGTGGATCACCTGAGGCCAAGAGTTCGAGACCAGCCTGTACAACATGGTGAAGCCATATCTCTACTAAAAATACAAAATTAGCCCGGCATGGTGGTGCATGCCTGTAATCCCAGCTACTTGGGAGGCTGAGGCAGGATAATCGCCTGAACTTGGGAGGTGGAGACTGCAGTGAGCCGAGACCACACCATTGCACTCCATGCTGGGCAACAAGATTAAAACTCTATCTCAAAAAAATTTTTTTAAAAGCCCCTTGAGAAATTTGGCATTATACCTTGTCTACACAGTCCTTGTACAGTGTTCCTAACCTGTGGTAAGTAAAGAATGTGACACCGTGATGCTTTACCCATTTTGGACTTTCTCTTGTCAAGTTGTTACTGAGCAGCTTGGCTTCAAACTGCATTTACAACATTTTTTTCGTCCTTTCACCTAGTGAGAAAAACTGCAGGTGTGTTTTCTCTTGTCTTGAAATACAGCCTTGGAAGGTGCTCTAACACTCTACCTTATGCTCCCATGCCTTATGCATATTTGTTTATCTGGAAGCTTGTTAAGCTCACATCATGTTCACTTATCTGTTCATATATTTCCTTAGGAATCTTCAGGGGCCAGATCCTGATGCAACGAGGCACCTCCTGAATTCTGTCTCCAATAAAAGATTACTTCAAGACTGGAACCCACTCCCAGGTACAGACTGACTACAAAATTGACTGTGATTAATCTGTAACCTGGTAGGGCCCACAATGGCACCAGTCGCTACATCAGATGAAACAATAATTCAAGATGACCCATTGGAGCAAGTCACGTCACCTGGCACCTCCTAGCATCCCCTGCCTCTTCTGCATTCCAAACTCTCTCTTTAAAAACCACTGCATTCCCTCCACAAATTGAAAAGTAAAATTTTTTCACTCACTTTTCCCCTTGCTGGCATAGAATAAAGTCTCACTCTTTTTCTATCACATATTTTGACTTCTTTCAACAAGTGGTGAGCAGTCAAACCCTTTTGCCACTTATTAAGTGACTTTGAGGGTCTGGAGAGCAGAGCCCACCGCAGAGGGGCAGCATTGCTCACTGAAGAAGCCCCCTGCCCAGCCCTTCCTTGCACTCTAACAGAAATTGACTAGGAAGAAGGAACTAAACCCACCCAGAGTGTGTGGGATTACAAGAGGGTAGGAAAAGAGAGGCCTGAATAGTTGACAATTTGAATGGCTAAATCTGACTATTGTGCCCTTCATAGCACATAAGTTGTGCCACTAGATTTGAAATAGGCAGCAGGTAAGAGACTAGAGGAATTGGGCTCAATAATTCTCAAGAGACCCCAGAGTGGAATGAAAGGCAGTGTAGGTCTAGCAGCATGGGCCTGAGGTTCAGAACCTTGTGTCCTGATCCCACATATACAACTGATTCACGCTGTATGCCCTTAGAAAGAGCTTAATCTCTTCATCTGTGAAATGGAAACAAGAGCCACTGCCCCAGCTGCTTCTGAGTATGGTTATGAGTATTGTTATAGTTCGGCTGTATCCCCTCCAAATATCATCTTGAATTGTAGTTCCCATTATCCCTACATGTCATAAGAGGCACCTAGTGAAAGGTAATTGAAGTGAAAGGCAATTGAACAGCAACAGTTACCATCATGCTGCTGTTCACATGATAGTGAGAAAGTTCTTATGAGATCTAGTTTTATAAGATTTTATAAGAGGCTTTTCACCCTTTTGCACAGCACTTCCTGCCGTCATAGGAAGAAGATTGTGTTTGCTTCCCCTTCCATCATAATTGTATGTTTTCTGAGGTCTCTCCAGCAATGCAGAACTGTGAATCAATTAAACCTCTTTCCTTTAAAAATTACCCAGTCTCGGGTGTGTACTTTATATCAGTGTGAGAACAGACTAATACAGTAATGCATATCACAGAAAGTGGGGTGCTGCTGTAAAAACACCCAAAAATGTATAAGTGACTTTGGAACTGGGTAACAAGCAGAGGTTGGAACAGTTTGGAAAGCTCAGAAGAAGACAGAAAGATATGGGAAAGTTTGGAACTTCCTAGAATCTTGTTGACTGATTTCGATCAAGATCCTGATAGTGATATGGACAATGAAGTCCAGGCTGAGGTGGTCTCAGATGGATATGAGAAACTTGTTGGGAACTGAAACAAAGGTGACTCTTGCTATGTTTTAGCACAGAGACTGGTGGCATTTTGCCCCTGCCATAGAGATCTGTGGAAATTTGAACTTGAGATAGATTATTTAAGGCATCTGGTGGAAGAAATGTCTAAGTAGCAAAGCATTCAAGAAGTGACTTGAGTGCTTTCAAAAATATTGTTTTAGGTATTCACAAAGTTATAGTTTGGAATAGGAACTTATGTTTAAAAGGGATGCAGAGCATAAAAGTTCAGAAAATTTGCAGCCTGACAAATGTGACAGAAAAGGAAAACCCCTTTTCTGAGAAGAAAATCAAGATGGCTGCAGAAATTTGCATAAGTAGCAAGGAGCCTAATGTTAATTGAGGAAAATGTCTCCAGAGCATATCAGAGGTCTTCATGGCAGCCTCTCCCATCACAGGCTCAGAGGCCTAGGAGGGAAAAATAGTTTCATGGGCCAGGTCCAGGACCCCCCTGCTGTGTGCAGTCTGGGAACTTGGCACCCTGCATTCTAGCTGTGGCCCAAAGGGGCCAAGGTATAGCTCAGGCTGTGGCAGCTTCCCAAGTCATGGCAGCTTCGCAAGTCTTGGCAGCTTCCACATGGTGTTGGGCCTGCAGGTGTGCAGAAGTCAAGAATTGAGGTTTGGGAACTTCTGACTAGATTTCAGAGGATGTATGGAAATGGCTGGATATCCAGGAAGAAGTTTGCTGTAAGGGTGGAGCCCTCATGGAGAACCTCTGATAAGGCAGGGCAGAAGGAAAATGTGGGGTCAGAGCCCACCCCTCCACTCCCCATTGGGACACTGCCTAGCAGAGCTTTGGAAAGAGAGCCACCATCTTCCAGACCCCAAAATGGTAGACCCATTGACAGCTTGCACCATGCTCCTGGAAAAGTTGCAGACACTTAACACCAGCCTGTGAAGGAAGCAGAAGGGGACTGTAGTATGCAAACCCACTGGGGTGGAGCTGCCCAAGGCCATGGAAGCTCACTTCTTGCATCAGTGTTGACAAATTGTGAGACATGGAGTAAAAGAAGATCATTTTGGATATTTAGGATTTGACTGCCCCACTGGATTTTGGACTTGCATGGGTCCTGTAGCCCCTTCATTTTGACAAAGTTCTCCCATTTGGAACAGGTGTATTTAACCAATGCCTGTGCTCCCATTGTATCTAGGAAGTAACTAACTTGCTTTTGATTTTACAGGCTCATAGGTGGAAGGTACTTGCCTTATCTCAGATGAGACTTTGGACTTGGACTTTTAGGTTAATGCTGGAATGAGTTAAGATTTTGGGGGACTGTTGAGAAGGCATGATTGTGTTTTGAAATGTGAGGACAATAGATTTGGGAGGGGTAAAGGGTGAAATAATATGGTTTGACTGTGTCCCCATCCAAATCTCATCTTGTAGTTCCCATAATACCTATATGTTGTTGGAAGGTAATTGAATCATGGTGGCAGTTTCCCCATGCTGCTGTTCTCATAATAGTGAGTGAGTTCGCAGGAGATCTGATGGTTTTATAAGATGCCTTTTCCAGAAAGTGAAACCCTAGTGGTCCAGATGAAGATCATGGTTGGGACTAGCTGGCCAAAGATGAAGCCTCAGAACAAAAACATGGTGGCGTGAATGAATCCACACACATTCTTCTACAACTTTTATAATAGACCAATCCTTTCTCATCAGAATACTGTCTGATTGTGCTACGAAGTGAAAATGAAAACAAAGGATTCCTCAAGTCCCATTTTGGTTGCAAAGATCTTTCAAAGCCAGGTCTATTCCAAGCCTCAATGCCACCCAGAGATGAGATTCTTCCATTTGTTCTGCAACTGTTAGCTGCATAGTGACCAGGAGTACAAGGTCACCTGGTACATATTCTGGAACCGCTGTCTAGTGTGTGCAAGGAATGTGGTCAAGTTCTGGGCCGAGGACAGCAAGGTCACCCTGACCATCTTTGTGGCTTGCCTCTACTAATTCTGGGACCCACAATGCCAGGAGGAGCTTCACAGACTGTGTCAGAAAAGAGACAGTTTGTATGCCACAATGAAGATCATGAATTATGGTGAATTTCAACAGTGTTGGGACAAGTTCGTGTACAACCAAAAATTGTACAAGCTTTGGAATAAACTGTCTAAACATTATACATTACTGCACATCACATTGGGGGAGGTTCTCAGACACCTGATGGATCCAGGCACATTCACTTACAATTTTACCAATGACCCATTGGTTCCTGGACAGCAAAAAACCTACCTGTGTTACGAGGTGAAGCGCCAGGACAATGGCACCTGGGTCTGGCTGGACCAGCACAGGGACATCATACTCAATGGGGTTTCAAATAATCCCGGTTTCCCTGAAGACCGCCATGCAGAGCTGTGCTTCCTGGACCTGATTTGCTTTTGGAAGCTGGACCTGTGTCGGTGCTACAGGGTCACCTGCTTCATCTCCTGGAGCCCCTGCTTCAGCTGTGCCCAGGATGTGGCTAAATTCTATCAAGAGACCCCACACATGAGCCTGCGCATCTTCACTGCCTACATCTATGATTATCAACAGGGATATAAAAAGGGTCTGTGCAGGGTGGACAGAGCTGAGGCCCCAATTTCCATGATGAAATACAATGAGTTTAGGCACTGCTGGGACACCTTCGTGGATCACCAGGGATGCCCCTTCCAGCCCTGGGATGGACTAGATGAGCACAGCCAAGCCCTGAGTGGGAGGCTGCAGGCCATTCTCCAGAATCAGAGAAACTGAAGGATGAACTTCTTCCAAGAAATGCAAGCAGGCTGTTCACCACCATCACTAGCTGATCACAGATGCCAGCAAAGCAATGCGCTCCTGACCAAGTAGATTCTTTTAAAAATTAGAGTGAATTAGCTTCAATCAAAAATTTATGTGATACAGTAGTAAGATTGTGCTCAATACACTCAGAAAAGTTTCAAATACACTATTCCAGTGATGAAATGAATTGGTTTTATATGTAGAGGAATACAATGAAATACTAAATATTTTCATATATTTTTCCCTCTGTGATTGTATCATGAATTGCAAGTGTTTACATAAATACTAGCAAATGTGAAAAAGGAAAAAAGAGGCCTTTTCCCCTTTTGCTCAGCGCTTCTTCCTGCCATCATGTGAAGAATGTGTTTGCTTCCCTTTCACCACGATCTTACATTTCTTGAGGCTTCCACAGCCAGGCAGAACTGTGAGGCAATTAAATGTTTTCTGGGGGGATCAAATGAGATAACAAATTTAAAAGCATATAGTAAGTGCTCAATATAGCTGCATCTTTTTCCTTCCTTAAAAAGAAAGTAGAGGAGACTTTCTATTTCCAGTCGTCAAATGAAGAAAATCAACAGTTAAACTGATTAAAATCAAAAGTCACATATCTGGTAAAGTACCAGAGCCAGGACTTTGAAACTAAGCTTTCCGACTTCAAGTTCAATATTTTTTCTCCCATATGTCATGCTTCAAGTTTCTCATCTGTCATATGGAAATGATAATAATAATGATAACTATAATTAGTTTTGCAAATCAATTCATATATGGGAAAGCATTCTGGATAGTATAAAGTCCTGTACAAATCTAATGAATTCTTATTATTATTCCACTTCCTCAACTTGTATTCCACCAAATTCTCACTAAATAGTTAGCTAAGGATAGGATTGAGGTACAGTCCCTTCCTGCAACATCTGCTTTTAACAACTAATGCAAATAGCTAACATTTATTGCACAATGACTCTTGGCCACACGCTGTTATAGGCACTTATGCGTATTTACTCATTTCATATTCACAACCCTATAGGGTAGTTATTGATATTATCTTCATTTTAAAGATAGTCCTTGACTCACAGAGTAGTTGTGATGATGAAATACATTCACATATGTAAAATGCTCACAGCAATGCCTAGGCACACCATAAGTACAGTGTAAACGTTGGCTCTAATTACTGGTATTACACTCCTCATTTTCCGGGTGCAGGGAGTGAGGCATGGAGAAATATTAAGACCTCACTGACCCTTGGTAAGACCTCATCTCTGCCCTCTGACATCATCCCCTTAAAACTGTGCCCTCTGTTTGGCTAAGATAGCGGCCCCATAATGGACCACAGCCAAATCTGGACCAAATAAATCACAAGTTCAAGTGCTATTTAGTTCTGGGGGGTTGGATGACTGGATCTCAAAAATGAAGCACCCCAGAGGAAGCCTGCCAAAGCCCAGTTTCCCTGTAAAACAGAAGGACCTGAGTCTGCTTGGCTTACTAGGTTTTTCACTTCCATTTGTATATAATAATCCAGTACAATCATGTGGACTTTGCTGCTTAACAATGCATTGTTTTCATATCGATTATCCCAATTCAGCCACAACAGACCTGCGAGGTGCCTGAGCTGAAGATGAGAATTTCCAGCTGGCTAAGAGGGCACCAAAACCCAGAAAGAGAATAAGATTTGTGTCAGAGCCCACGTTGGAACGTTCAGATCCTACTTGCCTCCCAGTTTCCGTGTGTCCAAGGAAATCCCTTCCCTTCAGGACTGTGTCCCTATCATCTGTAAAATGAAGTGACTGGACGAACAGGGCACCTGACCCACATCGATGTCCCTTGACATTCAGGACCTGACTGGTGTTTAACATCTCAAGGAAAGCTATGCAGAATCTCCTTGAAACCACCAGAGGGCACAGGAAGCCTGCAGAGGAGAGCCAGTAGGAAATGCATTAGGCTGAACCAAGGTGATCAGTTTCCCACTGAACATAGATAATTACAGGTTTATGTGAAAGGAAAGAACTAGAGAAAGTCAAGGCATGAAGAACCTTAGAAACTGATCCTTCAAATGGAAATACTGAGGCCTAGAGAAAGGAAATAGCTAGCTGGAGGTCACAAAGCAAATCAGGCTAAAGAAAAGACTAGAATCCAGTGTTTCCTGATTTTCAGACACAGTTTCTTCAATTGCATCAATCTGCTGCTGCAACAGTACTGTTTTGAACTTTTTCTCTGTTGTTCACATTTATTTATAATGTACCATGTTTCAATAATAATGACAACTGGTGCCACATTGTAGTCCCACAACATGTTATGAATGGTACTAGGCCGGGTAGCTTACATACAATGGATCTTTAGATCCTCACAAGGGCCCTCTTAAGTAGGTAGTATTTAGCCCCATTTCACAGATGAAAGGGCAAGTCACATCCAATCCTTTGTAATTCCAAAACCTGTGCTTTAAAAAAATCTACAATTTATCTCTGTGTCTAGTCCATAGTAAGGTGATGTGCTCATCTGTGACCCTCTTCCTGGCCACTGGTAACCTTGGACATGTACTGCCCAGCTACAAGTATCAGCTAATGGAGTCATTACATGTGTTTGTTTGATTATTCGTCTTAAAAACCTCTGCAATAACATTTACTCCCAACCATATTATGCCAATTTTTATGTCCTGAAGCTTACCATAAATGATATAGAAAGAGAATGCTCATAAACATATTAATATCCTTTCAGAAAAAGCAGACTTATTACTACTGTCCTAATGAAGCCCAAGTTCTCTGAGAGTGAGATGTGAGAGATGACAGGGACGTGTCAAGAACTACCATGGTAATCCATCCACCCACACACTGCTACCACCAAGAAGAACTTTATGCTTAAAAAATACTTGGCCCTAAAATAATCTGGAGAAACAATAGTATTATAGCATATTCCCTCATAAAGACACCCATAATTCTCAAAGCCAGAGAATCCCTTCTAGTATTTAACATTCCTCCTACTACAGTTCTACCCTATTTCTTTTTGTCCTTGAGTAAGGGTGTGGTAAATGGCTGCCCATCATCATTAAAATTAAACCCCATGAAAGCTAGACTTAGACAGTCTAGATAGAATACTAGACTTAGACTAAAAAGTAAATACCCAAATTCGAACTCAAATACTGTCATAATCTGTATAATTTTGAATAAGTCACTAACATCTTTGAGCTTGTTTCCTTGCTGCTAAAATGAGGATAATCACTCCTACCTCACAAGGTTACTGTAAGCATTAAATAAAAACAATGTACATGACAGAAAGCTACACTAAATGAATGCTGGGAGAAGAATGTTAGTGGGCTGTCCTAGGACTACATTTTTCAGGTCAAATAACACAGAATGTTGTTACTGACACAAATACAGATATCCTGACACCCAGCCCAGAGGCTTTCCTTGACTCCAGTCTCTGCATCTAGCTGATGCTGGAGGGTGAGGGCAGGGGGCCAAAGCCAGAAAAATGCCTCACCACCTAAGGAAAACAGGAGGTCATGGCTGTCTTTGACATCATTAAAGAATCATAGTGACTCTCCTTCTACTCCCAGAGCTTCAGGTTTCTGTCCATGGCTGAACTGAGGTGTGAATATAGGAACTCAGCTCCAAGAAGAGGCAAAAGTCACCCAGGGTTTTAGGATCATTCAAATCTCTTGCAACTGACTACTGGGAACATTTCTTTTGAGACATTTCTGGCTGGAGGTGGGTTGGGTGGGGCAGGGCATGGGAATTTAGCTGGCTTCTGGTGTCCTGAATGTTACAAATAGCGACTAAAAAAAAAAAAAAGGAAAAGGAAAAACAGCCTTACCTGAGCACCACAGACTCCAGTGTAGGGCTCGCCGGCTTTGCCCTCTGCCTCTGCTGCCCCCGCTGCCCCCATTTCCAACTGAGGCTGCTGGAGCTGCCTGGCCAGGCTGGACACCTCAGGCTCCCTACTAGCCTCTTGCCCCTTCATCTCGTTGAGCTTCTCCTCTAGCTTTTTCATGACAACCTCAGTGGTAAATCTCCTTGCATTGACACCCAGCTCAGGGGACTCCCTGTCATTGTCATCTTCCTTGAGGAAGCTGACCACGGTGTCAGTGTCCTCCTCAAGCTCCTCAGAGGAGGAGTGCTCCCTGGTGAAGGTGCTGCAGTAGATTTGGCCACGACTGCCATGCCCATGGCTGTTCTGCTGCACTGGGTTGTCCTGGAACTCTAAGATGGCCAAGGTTGGGGAAGAGGTGGCAGCAATACAGGGACCCGCTAGGTCCTGGTCCAGCGTTTCTTTGCCCTCAATGCTCATCTCAAAAGTGCATAAGCTCTGTGAGGGCTTCAGGTGGCGGGGGTGTTGCCAAAGCCTTCCCAAGGTACTATTCCACAGTGAGGCCTCAGTGGCCTGGCAGGACAGGTTGAGTGGTAAGGAGGACAGGGAGGCAGTGCCCTCCCGGATGAAGCTATTGCTGCAACTGCTGAAGCAGGCCTCATGGTTGTGGCGGGACAACTGCGGCTCTTCACGGGTGAATGCCTGCCACTTGCGGGCCACCTCAGCCACACTATTAAAGAATTTGATGATGACACCCAATGGTGCAGCCTTTTCTCGGCACTGGTGTTCAGGGTTCCCTTCAATGCTACCTTGCAAGTCTGCTTCCAAGGTGGAGTCCTCGATGGCAGCCTCAAATTTCAGGATTTCAGCATCATTGGCCCATGTATTCAGACCTTCACAGTCCCTGGGGAATAGGCTTTTCAGGTAGGTTCTGCCTTGCCTTTCACCCTGAAGCTGTTCAGGGACCTTCTCCTGCCAGGAATTGTCCTGCACATGGATGCTAAACTCATCAAAGGCCAGTACTTTCTGGTTCACCCTCTTGGAGGCTTGCCCAAGCCCCTGCACATCTGTGAGGAAAGGGTCCAAGCCCTTGATGGGGCCGGCATAGGAATGGCGGAAGGGCTTCAGGGCCTCCTCAGTCTTTCTGATCTGATAGATACCTGGGGCATCCTGCGCCTCCTGGATCTTGCTGCTCCTAGGGGGAGTGTATTTGAAGGCCCCAGTAGAAGACTTCAGCCTCCTGAATGTCTTCATTCGATCCATGAACCTGAATTTATGTTTCACTTCTGACAGCCTGGAGGTGTCTCCCAGTAAAAACATGGACTGGGGTCGCTTTTTCTGGCTGGAGGCCCCTTTTCTGCGGCTCACAAAATTCCAGATCTTGTTGACTTTGGTTTTCTTCTTGTTCCAACCACTCTCTTCACTGTTACTCAAGTCACTCTGGTCATACTGCTTAGATTTCTCCAACTCCTCCAGCCCTACCTCCCCAGTCAGGCCTTCTACCTCAGGGTGGTCCGGGATGACTTGAGCCAGGTAATCATTGGGCATCATCTCTGACAGAGAGGTAGTACGGCAGCTGCTGAGAGTCTCCGTGGTTGCAGCAGAGGGTGGGCTCAAAAAAGCACAGAGAGAGGGCTGGCCCTTTATTTCCAGCTGAAGGGGAGAAATAAGGACAGAGAGAAGGGAAGGGGAGGGAAGGGAAAGAGAGAAGAAGAAAAAGAGAAGAAAGCTAAATTAGGCAAGGCCACAAACGGGGTCACTTACAGGTTTGTAATGATCAAATATATAAAACACACTTCAGCAATGGGCCACCAAATCTTTAAGACCTTTATAGTACAAAAACTAATTTGCATTTTACTAGTTTAGAATCTGGATTGGTGGAAAGCAAAGCTTAACCTGTGTACCAAGGAAATATTTGATTCTTATTTAAGTGCAAATACACTTAAGAGGGACACAACTTAAGGCTATTGTCAGACCCTAACAACTGAGCAGACACATTTTTTAAAAAGCAAATAATAATAATAATAGCTGAAGATATCTCAGAAATCTGTCACTTTAATCCTCTCATTTTACAAGCAGCCACTGGAGATCCAGAGAAGACACCTGTCTTGCCTAGGCCACAGAGCCAATGGAGCAGCAGGTAGGAATCATCCAGTCCAGGCTTTCCGTTCTCATTTGCTCCTCCATTCACTCAGGGAGCCTGCCTGAGAGAGCTCAGCTATCAGATCACCTACTCAGCACTGGCCCCTCAGCCAGGCGCTGAACACTGCTTAGATGAGTAAGGCGCATATGGCTGGTCACCTGAGCTCGTAGACTACTGGGAAAGCCAGGTGGATATAAACAAACAATTACAATAGAGCCTGGTAAGTTCGCTAATAGAGATATAAACAAGGCCCACAGAAGCTTAGAGAAAGTTGGGAGGGGATGTTGGACTGGGAGAGATGTGAGGGTTAGAGACAGGAAGACAGAGAAAGGACTGGGGCTCCCAGGAATGCTTCCCAGAATAGCCTAGACTAAAAATGGGAGCTCACTCATAGTAGAGGCTCTCTCTATCCAGTGTTCTTTGCCCCTCTGCCTTGAACAGCCTAAGAGCAGGGTTTGCCAAGAGAAGCAAAGAGAGGAGAGCAGGCACATTGAGCCTGGTGCCCTAAAGACAACATCTGCTTTCTTGGTAGCTTTGCCAAGAGCCAGTTGGCTAACTCAGAATCTACTAGCTCCTTCTTTTCTACTCTTCAAGGTTAACTTCACCTAACTTGGATCATGCCTTTACTCTGTGTCCTTTCTGCACTTACATAATAGCATTCACAGAATCTGTTAGACTCGGAAAATGTTCAAGTTAGAGGAGGCCAGAAAGATTATGTAGCTTGGAAAAATGGAATCAAAAGAGAGCAGAGACTTGGGTAAGGTCACACAGCAAGCCAGTGGAAGGTCAAGAACAGAAGCCTAGTCTTCCTGGCTTCCAGGCCAGGCAGAGACCTTACCTCTGCGCCACACTGCCACCCTTATCCAAGAGTTTTGTTTTCCCTAGTCTATTCCACTCAGGATAATAATAACATCCTAACATTGATAAGTGCCAGATACTGCACTAAGTTCTTTATTCATTTAGTTCTCACAACAACCTTATGAGGTGAACATTATTGTTGTTTCCATTTTAGAGATGGTTCAACTGAGGCAATGAAAGTTTAACTGATTTGCCTAGGTTCTCCACACCCACTAACTAATAGTGTTGGGATTTGAATCCAGGCAGTGTGGCTCCAGAGGCCATGCCTCTAACCACTATGCAATACTCCCTTTTTAGAACAGGGCCTTTGCACACAGAGGCTGATTCATATACAAGTCTATCTTTCTGCCTGCCTTCTGACTTCTTTTGGTAGTACCAGGGCACAATGAGCTTCCTAAAAGGCATCTGTACGTGTTCTTGATGCCAGGGCCTAGCATGGGGCGGTGGAGGGGAAGGAGGATTTTGTGGAAGATGATCATTGTGCCTGATAACCTTCTTACAGAAAGCTTTCCTACACTAAGCAAGTGAACTGAGAAATCTTCCTTTTCCCAGTTCTCCACTTGGCTATAACCCTTCTCTCAAATAAGAATGTGACCTTAAGAGAGCCATCCTTAGCCTTTAAGTAAAACTACAATCAAAGAGAGCTTTGAGATCCCCTAGTCCACTCCACTCATTATTTCACAGGATGAAATTTTAGCACGTAAATTTCAAGGGAAAAGCACATTATACAAAAAAATGAAAAAAAAAATTCATTTACAACAGCATTAAACACTACTTAGAAAGAAACTGAACCAAAAAGATGAAAGAACTGTACACTCAACAGTATAAAATATTGATGAAATAAATTGAAGAAGACAAAGATAAATGGAAAGATATCCATTTATTTGGATGAAAAGATATCCCACGTTCATGTACTAGAAGAACTAACATTGTTAAAATATCCATGCTGTTTAAAGCAATCTACAGGTTCATTGAAATCCCTATCAAAATTTCAATGACATTTTCCACTTAAATAAAAGGAACAATCCTAAAATTCATATGAAACCAATGTAGATGATGGGTGATGGATGCAGCAAACCACCATGGCACGTGTATACCTATATAACAAAACTGCACGTTCTGCACATGCAACCCAGTACTTAAATTATAACAAATAAATTTTAAAAAGAAAGCAGAGGAGAGAGAACAGGTAGGAAATGGCTGCCTGGGAGGCAGTGAGGAAGACTAACTTCCTGGAAAGGAGACTGGGGTCTCAAAGGAGACCAATGCCTGACTCATCACAGATCTGGATCTGGTGGAAATTTCCCCCAACCTGGGTGGTCTTTCATCTTCCTAGGTCTTGACCAGGAGTTGACATTAACAAAGTCCTATCCATGGCCTGGACCTTGCCTATTTTGTCAATAAAGTTTTATTGGAACACAGAAAAAAATGAAATAAACCACAAAAGACCCAAAATCGCCCAAACAATCTTGAGTGAAAAGAACAAAGCTGGAAACCTTACACTACCTGATCTCAAAATCTGCTACAAATCTATAGTGATCAAGACAGCATGGTACTGACACAAAAACAGACACATAAACCAATGGAACAGAATAGTGAGCCCAGAAATAAGTCCACACTTTTATGTGCAAGTGATTTTTCAAGAAATGTGGTGGTAACACACAATGGAGACAGTTTCTTCAATAAATGGTGCTAGGACAACTGGATATCCACAAGTCAAAAAATGAAATTGGATCCTTATCTCACCCCATATACAAGACTTAACTCAAATTTGATTAAAGACTTAAACATAATACTTGTAGCTATAGAACTACTAGAAAAAAAATAGAGGAAAAGATTCATGACTTCCATCTTGGCAAACATTTTTTGAATATGAACCCAGAAGCACAGGCAACCAAAAGTGAGAAGAGGCACATTGGACTATATCAAACTAAAAAATCTTCTGTACAGCAAAGGAAACGATCAAGAGAGTGAAGAAAATTCAACAGAATAGGAGAAAATATTTGGGAAATACATTTCTTATGAGAGTTTAATGTCCAAAATATACATGGAAGGAATTCAAATGACTTAAAAGTAAGAAAACAAATAATCCAATTTTTAAAATGGGCAAAACACCTAAAAAGACATTTCTAAAGGAAGACATACAATATGGCCAACAGATAAAATGAAAGAAATGCTTAACATTACTAATCATAAGACAAATGCAAATTAAAACCACAATGAGATACCACCTCACATCTGGTAAGGTGGCTGTTATCAACAAGATTAAAGATAACAAATGTTGGTGAGGATTGGAGAAAAGGGAACTATTGCACACTGTTAATGAGAATGTAAATTATTACAGCCATTATGGAAAATAGTATAGATGCTCCTCAAACAATTTCAAATAATCTAGCAATTCCACTCCTGGGTAGATATCCAAAGGAAATGAAATCAGTATGTCAAGATGACCTCTTCACTTCCATGTTTATTGCAGCATTATTCACAATAGCCAAAATATAGAATCAACCTGTGTCCATCAACAGATAAATGGAAAAAGAAATTGTGGCATATACACACAATGGAATACTATCCAGCTTTAGTAATACAATCCTGCCATTTGCAATAGCATGAATGAACCCAGAAGACATTATGTTAAGTGAAATAAGCCTTCAGAAAAGACAAACATTACATAATTATACTCTCCTCAACCTCCTGGATTCAAGTGATTCTCCTGCCTCAGCCACCCAAGTAGCTGAGACTACAGGCATGTGCCACCGTGTCCAGCTAATTTTTGTATTTGTAGTAGAGATGGGGTTTCACGCTGTTAGCCAGGCTGGTCTCTAACTCCTGACCTCAGGCAATCCACCCACCTCGGCCTCCCAAAGTGATGTGATTACAGCTACTGCTTCCACAGGCAGTGAGAGACAGAGGTAGGACAAGAACACTGGGTATTTGGTGCCAAGTCCAATGCCCACTGTCTTGCACCTGACTCCTTCATTAGCAGCTTTAGGTGGAATAATAAAAGATATGTGTTTCATTGCTAATTTCTACCTAGGTACTACTGCACAATACAATAATTGTTTTGGTCAGCAGATATTCATTCTCAGGCTCACTGGAATCTGAACACAGTTCTTCAAGATATCAAGCTGTCTTGCAATCAGCATTCTGTGGCATATAGTTTTTAAATGAGATAATGCCCAACACAATAAAAGTAATAATGACTAATATTTCTTAGCACTTACTCCAAACCAAACATTGGGCTGAGCACTTTCTTTATATGTATAATCTCATTAATCCTCATTATGCAGCTAGAAAGTATTATGATCCCCATTTTAAATGTGGCAAAGAAGGCTCAGAGTAGAGGTGGCTTGCCCAAGGTCACACATAGACCTAAGATTTGCACAAGGTCTGTTTAATATCAGAGCCTGTGTTCTTTAAGTACTGCCCCTCTAAGGATAACACAGTGCCTGGCACATCATATTACTCATTCATCAATTCCTATGATTGTTTTTGTTTTTTAAAATTTTTTATCAGCATTTACCACTTATTGAATGCTTTCTTTATAGCAGGCACTGTGCTAATTTCTTTCTTAAGTGTTAACCAGTTAACCTTCACCATCACACACTGAGATTTGTACTATTATTATCTTCATTTTGCAACTGAGTAAGCT